TCAACTGGGGGCTTCTCAGATCTTCAGCTCCGACTGGTTTTCCATATTTAGAATCCCTATCTATAGGGTACTCTATAGGTATTCTAGATGGCATATGTAAGGTATCTTAAGGTATTCAACAGGGTATTCCTGGAAAGCCACCGAAAAAGGTAGATAACTGAGGGGGGGGGGGTAGCATATATATATACACGTCAGGGTTGCATAACGGTCATATCACGCACGGGTTGGTAGGCTTTGGGGCTTTTGAGGCTCCAGGGTTTTAAGCTTCGGAGTTATAGGGCTTACCGGGTACGAAGTTTTGGGCTTCAGAGTAGGTTCAGGGATTTAGGGTTTACGGTTTAGGGTTTAGGGCTTCAGAGTGGGTTCAGGGATTCAGGGTTTAGGGTTTAGGGTTTAGGGCTTCAGAGTGGGTCCAGGGATTTCGGTCAAGGTCTCAAGGGGGGGATTCAGCTTTCAACTTATATAGGGGGCTTAAATATGAGAATAATTAGAAAAGGTTTTGGGGTATATACTACTATAATTGTAATAAGGAGCCCCAAAACTCTATTATTCTAACTATCTAAGCCCCTACATTATATGGGTAGTTCTCTAAATTAGGGTCCCTTTTTAGGTCCCCAATATAGTACGGCACCCTTATAAAAAGGAGCCTAAAAGGGACCCTAGTTTAGAGAACTACCCATTCTGACTATTTTAAGCCCCTACATTATAGAAGAAAAACCCTAAACCCTAAACCCTAAACCCTAAACCCTAAACCCTAAACCCCTAAGAACCTTAGGCACCCCACCTCCACCGCAAGCCACCCACGGTGCTGAACCGCCGCCTTGTCGGGGAAATCCTGGCAGCTTACAGGGTCTACATGCTCTTATCATGGTTTAGGGTTTAGGGTTTAGGGTTTAGGGTTTAGGGTTTAGGGTTTAGGGTTTAGGGTTTAGGGTACCACCATCGTCGCACGACTACTATCATCTGAGATCATGCTTGTAATCTCGGGTGATGGGGAGGGGAGGAGAGTGGCCTAAGTTTCCATGATGAGGGTCTCATCATCTTCCTCATCATCTTCCTCATCGCCATCTGGGAGTTTCCGAAAATAGGGGACCCTAATATAGTACCCTAAATAGTAGGTCCCCTATAAGAAGGACCCCCAAAATAATGTACCCCTATTTTCGGAAACTCCCATCTTCATCAACAGCAACATCGCTATCTCCCGCCTCAGGATGACGATGACGAGAACAAAGATGGAATACACTACGTCAACAGGCACCGCAGGAGCAAGAGCTGCAATACCAATTGGGCCAATAGTAGTACACGATCGAAACACCTGGCTCATCCTACATGCTAGTTTGCAAATTAGCAGCGACATGATACCTCCTGATAACTCCTAGAATTTAACATGGTCACAAGAAACGTGGTCGGCCCTCCAAGCCCAAAACTTTGGCCTCCTATGACCATGGTAGCTAGCGTTACTACTAACTACACATGGGGGTTTCCGAAAATGGGCACCCTAAGATAGTACCCTAAATAGGATCCTTATAAGGGCCCCAAAATAAGGTACCCTAATTTTCGGAAGATCTCACATAGCTCAACTTCCGGATGCTCGTGGAACTCTGGTCGAGAATTCCGCTCCTTCAGGATCTGCACCACTTGCTGTGCATACCTCGCATTGCATGGGCCGTTTATGTAGTGATGCCTTCTCCCCAACAAGGAGCCTTCGGCCAAGTTTGTGGATCCTGAATGCTTTCTAAGATGCAAAGCGAGGAAGTAATGTCGGTGCCTTCATAATCAGAATAATTTTTTTTGGGGGGAGGGTGGGGTCCTTATTGTAACTATAATAATATAATAGAACGATCCCACAAACCCTATTCTACTTATTAAGGCCCCTACATTAGGCAGTGGAAAGCTTGTGGTTGCGAAATTTCATCAGTGCTCAGGGCAGAACCTCAGGCTGCGGACTTGTGGAAAAGGATTCGTCGAAAGTTGCTGGTGTTCGTTTGGGTTCCACAATATAGCTATAGTCTAATATAGCCCCTAAACTAAAGCTGCTGTTGCTTTGGGTGCCTTCATAGAGCTACAGTATAAATACTAACCCCAAGCCCAAACTGCTATTCATTTGGGTTCCCTATAGTATACTTATACCCCAAAACTAAAGCTGCTTTCAACAAACCCTATCAGAACCCTAAACCCTAGACCCTAAACTTATTCCGGTTCCTTTAGGAATCTATAGGGTTTCGGGTTTAGGGTCAAGGGGTAGTTATAAGTAGGGCTATAAGTGTTATAAGTAAGGTAACTATAGTTAGAATTCCTTTCCATCCCTTCAACCCCTCTATTCCACAGGCATCCATCATCCATAAACAAACACTCTTCATCATTCATCCCCTCGAAAAGCTTCTCTCGGTTCTCCCATGAGTGTCGAACACGAGTTTCTTCGAGCGCAATTTCGGCGATGAAGCTGAACATGGATGGACTTTCCGTTGCTCCCTGCTTTGATGCCCGAAGGCGTCTGCAGCTGTGAGAGTCCCCATGGTGTCTGCAATGTTCCCGTGATGTCTGTCATTAGGGCTTCCCAACATCCAAGTTCCGCGCTGGGTCCTAACCTCTCAGAAAGCCGTTCAAGTAGGACACATCTGTTCACGCAATCAAAGGCTTTGCTCAGATCGATTTTGACGGCGCAGAGTGGCGATCCCCACTCGCGGTTGAGTTCGAAGATCCGGTGGATACAGAAGATGAAGTCGCAAGTTTGCCTGTGAGGCGCTGTGCATTGTGCTGCCGTGCGTGGTGCAAGTGCCGGTGCAGCTCGTGTGAGGAGCATGCGCGCGAATAACTTACCCACCCCGCTACCCATAGCTATGGGTCGCAGCTGTTTGCACGCAGTGGGGACGGCTACCTTCGGCAACATAATGATCAGCGGTTCGTTCCACTGCCTCGGCACCTCATAAAATCCTTAATATATAATTGGTTAAACCAAGACAGGAACTACAATGGAGACTATAGGTAGGGTTGAGGGCTAATTTGTGAGTTCGTCCAAGACGGCAGGTACTGTCCGACGGAAGTCTCAAGCAGTCCAAACAACACCCTGCGACCCTCAAACCCTGGAGCAATGAAGCCGCAAAGATCTAGAAGCCGAAGCACTCAACCCCAAAAAGATGAAAAGCCCAAAAGCCCTAAACTCCAACGGCCCTAAAACCCGAAAAAGAACCCAACAAAAAATCCATGGGCCTACAACCGAAGAGCCCCTAAAATCCAAAAGGCCTACCGAACCGGAGCTCCCCTAGCGCCTCAAGCACCTAGGTCGGTCATCTACGGGCCTTGATCATTAGAATAGTATAGGATAGGGTTCTGGGGTACGTATGTATACATGTATACATATATATATATATATATAAGTATATGTATGTATTGTATACATATATATAAGCAAACAATACTTAGATTATGGAGTGTATCTTTACACAATAAGTGCATTAGTAGAAAACCCTGAGGAATAGCCTTCGTAGTTGTTCAGCTTTCCTTATTGAATGCTGAGACCGACACTTTGAGATCTCTGAAGGCGGCGAATCCAAAAGCCTTAATGCGCAGCGGCTTAAGTTCACTTGTTGTGTGTGTGTGTGTGTACGCCGGGTTTGCGTGTTGGGAGGTCAGGAGTTACAGTCTTTGTTTTGGCTGGGGGAGATTTGGTTCAGGGCGTTAGGGACAATGGGGCTTTGAAGATTGATGGGCTGGAGCTTCCGGTAAGTCGGGTCTTAAAGCCGATAAAGCCCAGTGAACAGTCAAAGGAAACTTGGCCAACATGGTTCAGGACATACAGTAAGGGCGTGGTTCCCGGTGCTCACGTTCAGACATTCTAGATGCGCATGCTGAAAAGAACGCAAAGCGACGAGACCCTTCGAACCTGTGTTGGTGCCAACCCGATCGGCCTCTACATACAAGTTCCAAACCCTCGGCCTCTACATACAAGTTCCAAACCCTAAACCCTAAACTCCTAAACCCAAAGCCTTAAACCCGTAAACCCTAAACCCTAAACTCCTAAACCCTAGACCCCTAAACCCTAAGCCTCAAACCCCTAAACCCTAAACGCCTAAACCCTAAACCCCTAAACCCTAAGGCTCAAACCCCTAAACCCTAAACCCCAAACCCCTAAACCCAAAGCCTAAAACCCCTAAACCC